GGGGGCGGCGGGCAGTCCTTGGAAAAAGACACATCATGCTGGGAAAGGTGGAAAGTCAGAGAAAGAGAGTAAGACCCTCAACAAGATGGTTTGACACAGTGACTGTAACAATGGCCTCTAGTGTGGCAGAGATGATGAGAATGGTACAGAGTAGGGCAGTGTTTCGATCTGCTGTTCATAGTGTCATTGTGTGTCATACTTGACTTGATGACATCTAGTAATAGCAACAACTTACCCACTAACTCAACTTACTCAATGTGCAGGTGTCACCTGGCTCTCTTTAGGTTAGCATTTGGGATGTAAGGAACAGTGTTTTATCTTTTACTTGTCTTTCATCAGTATCCATGAAACTGCAAGAATACCCCGTTAACTTACTAAAAAACTCATACCATAAAGTTGAAATCAACTCTCAGCTGACTCTCCAGCAGGTTTTCAGACACTGTAAATTACACGGAAGTAGGGTAAAATCTCTGATACTTTACAGTTAGTATGTATAATGGCAACATAACTTTGGTGGCTTTGTGGTAAGGACTTGGGCTTCCAATTCACAGTTCAAATCCACCTGCTGTTCCAGGGGAGAAAGATGGGCAGCCTTCTTCATTGTGATTTACTGACTCTCAAAACCCCATAGAGAGTCAGCTATAGGTTGGTTCCAACTCAACGGTACAAAACAACAACTTCAATACAGCTTAGGAACCTAGCTACTCATTCCTCAAAAAGGAAAATTTGATTAAATTTCTTTCTGGATCGGCCAGTCTGAGATTCTTGCCTGAATCTTCATGAAAGGTAGCATCTTTCTACTCTAAAGGTTAGCTAAGACAGTAGACTTTTCTTGCTTTATTAATCCTTTCTTCTGTTTTTCTAGTGACAGAATTTAGCAGATTGCCCATCACTTATCATTAATTGAATCAGATCCCCGTCCTACTAGTCCTTCTTCTCTTAAGACAAAGAGATCTTTGGGTACAATTTTCACCTTCAAATAAAACATTTTTTTCAAGTTTGTTTATTTTGTCTATAAATCATTACCATCCCATCCATTGACCACATGATCATTTCTATTATTTGGTCTAATTTCACAACCAATCTTAAATCTGAGGTGATCTAGGATATTCCCTGTATATGCTATACATTTCTGTATATTCAGCAGATTGTTATAAACTAATAAACTGGCCTTCTTTCAGATTTTACCAGCTACTACTTTTACTTTGTAGATAAATGCTCTCAATGGTGATTGCAAATATATTTAGCATAGCTAAATGCTTTCATTTTTAAAAGACTAACTTTTCTTCTGAATTTTTAATAGAAAAAATAATAGTTCTATGAATATATGACATTTTGTTTTACTGTATTAAGTTCTACCCAGGGTAAGGATAGAAGGCAGATAGTAGCTCACCTTAAAGATGTGTTTTATATGAGTACTATCACACTGGATATCTAATTTTCCAAGTAGTTTCACAGTTTTATCTAGGTTAATTTTTCCACCTCTAAATTCATCAAAAATCTTCGATAAAAACCATGTATGAAGCAAAAAGATGTAGTTAAGGAAATTCTCACAGAAAGTGACTTAATATTTAAAATACCTAAAGTAGCATTAAATGTCTGTAATTATTTTAATATGTATTTATTCTTATTTTAAGAATATTTATATTTTGTGTAAAAACAGAATAATAAGGCTAAGGCAATTTGATGATAAATAAAATGTAAAATATATAATCTGAAAATAACATTCTTTAATAAATAAAAACATACACTGAGCAGTCAGGAAATAAGAACACATATTGCAATGGGGAAATGTGCAGTTAGGGACTTTTCCAAATTATTGACTAGTGACGTCAGTTTGAGCACTAAGGCATGTCTGATTCAGGCCATGGTCTTTCCAATTACTAGCTATGAATCTGAGACCTGGAAAATGAATCAGGATGACAGAAAAAGAATTGATGCCTTTGAGCTGTGATGTTGGAGAAGAGTACTGAACATTCCATGGAGGACCAAGAAAATTGAACAGGTATATTTTGGAGAGGGTGCAATCAGAGTGCTCTTTGGATGCAAAAATAATGATGCTTTGACTAACATACTTTGGACATTTTGTTAGGTGCTATGATGTTGGGAAGGATGGAGGGTTGGCGAAGGAGAGGAAGACCCTCAATCAGATGTATTGACATTGTGACTGCTGCAGTGGGCTCTTGTGTGTCAGGAAGTATGAGGATGGTGCAGGACAGGACTGGTTTCAGACCTTTTGTTCATAGGGTAGCTATGAGTCATATTCAACTCGATGGCACCTAACAACAACAACAACAATAAATTAAAAAAACTATAGAAAAAATAAAGTTTTCTAACAAATGAGAAAAAAATGCATTTACTCAGAAAATACAACAAAACAATAATGTTCATTAAGATAAGATCCTGGGAAGTAGCAGAACATCAGAATCCTCATCACTTAATCTTTCTCAGGCTAAAAAGTGAATCTATTATTACCTAATCTTAGAGAAGGAAACTCTGGTGTATTAGTCTGCATGATGCTGCACTAATAACCAGAGGCTAGACCTTTCTATGGTAGTTCAAATCCACCAGTAGTTTTGAGGGAGAAAGATGGATAATCTTTTCCTGTGCAATTTATAGTCAGAGAAAACCAAAAGCTATGAGTCAGTTTCAACTTGAGGGAAATAAAAGAGAGAAAGAAATAAAGTCTTAGAGAAGATGAAGCATTGTGTGAGTCTATAATATTTCATTTAACAGTTTCAACTATGGAATATTCAATCAATAGTACCCATTACAGATATAATTATTATCCCTACAATAATGAATTATCGTTATTACATGGACAAATGTATCCTTTCAACAAAAATCCAATGCTTAAAGCATCACTAAAAGAAGTTAACAATAATACCAAAGTAAGCTTACATTAGATGTTATAAAAAAAAATGAAAATATCCAAAGTTACTTATTATTTAAGATAAACTACAAAATTCAGGATTTTCAAATAGAGGAATTTAAAAGACTAATGCAATAATCTGCAAAATCATTAAAATTATAGGTAAAAATTGTTCAAAAGTCCATTCAAGTTTAGATTATTAGAATTACTAAGAACTTCTAAAGTTGAATAGCAGTAATTTAAGGTGGCAAAACTTGTATTTCTCCAAGAAAAAGATATAGGAAGCTATGGACAGCAGAAAAGTTCAAGACAGATGTGGAAGGAAATAGTTTATACTTAAATGATAGGGCCTTAGGCTCAGAAATCTCCAGAAAGAATAAGAAGAAAATTAAATGACAGGAGAAAAATTAAGAAAATAAAAAGCATGGAGGACAGAAGAAACTTCTGAGTGGATATTGGGTCTCCATATTTTCATGACCTGTTACGTCGGTAGTCACAGTTTGAAGTCTCGCTCTCCATTAAGTATTGCCACAGGCTCCAGATAATGTTAACTCTCTCCTCTTCAGGTATGGAATTTCCTGATAACTCATCAGTTGTTGTCACTGTCACCTTTATTCCTAGAGTGAAAGCAGAGAACACACAGTGCTTTGCTACCTTTGTTCTTTGTGCCTAGTTCACACTGAAGTACCACAGAATCAGTACAGAAGATATTCCTCAAGGATCTGCCCTCCACCCTTTCTGTCTCCTTATTTATGATCTGGCCATCTCCAAATCCTGAATGTTTGCTGCTGTAAGATCCTCTGCCATCGAATAATTTTTCCTGCAAATTTTCATTTGTATCTGATTTTACTTTCACTCTCTTTATTGTTGTTTAAACCCCTCAAAATCCAGTGGATTTGGAGCAGCTATTGTAAAAGTCTGAATATAAATCATCTTCATGATGGTCCCAGAAGGTGCAAATGGCTGCCAAACTCTCTCTAGGAGCCCTGGGCTATTTTTCTCCATAACCTAACAAAATACAATACATAGAGACGCACCATTTTTTGAAAAAGCCTGTTCAGGAAGCTTAGTTTTAACGTCTTCAAAACATACTTAGCTGGTTGTCTGGGTACCACACTGTCAGATGACTAATTTTTTTTTTCTTTTGGCTTGGACACCCATTGTGATATCACCAAAAGTTCCAGCCTTCATAGGGAAATCTTCTTTATGACATAATCAAGAGACCCAGAACCTGCCAGACTACCTGTTTTGATGGTTGAACTTAATAATCTTCAGCTTGAATGTTTACCACCTTGATGGGAACAGGGTCTCATGGAATGTTTTCACATTCCTTTCAACACTCTTTTCTTCAGAAGCTTTGCTTCTGCTGCAACCAAACATGTCACTTGTTCTGAACAAGAAACAGAAAGAACAAGTAATTCACAGGCTGCTAATACAGGCACCACCCGGGGAATTCGTAAATGCCTTTGATGATCTCTGTCTGCTTATTCGTGATGAAAAACTCATGCACCATCAAGGTGAGTGTGCAGGCCACCAGCATTGCCAAAAATATTTTGTACCACTCTGTATTGATGGTAATCCAGTGCTCTTGACTCATCACAATGTGGTAGGTGACTACAGGTTTTTTGACTATCAGAGCAAACTTTCTTTCAAATTTGACCTCCTCCAAAACCAATTAAAGGACATCAAAAGTCATGGTATCATTCAGAATGAAACAGAGTACTTGAGAACTGTTGTTCTGTGTGCCTTGAAACTATACGTGAATGATCACTTTCCAAATGGAAATTGCAATGTTCTGCGAAAAAGTGTGAAAAATAAGGAGTACTTGATAGCGTGCATTGAAAACCACAACTACCAATCAGGAAATTTTTGGAACGGCATTTGGAAATCTAAATGGATTTTTCAAATAAATCCATTTCTGACCCAAGTGACAGGAAGAATTTTTGTACAAGCTCATTACTTCAGGTATGTCAATCTTCATGTTGAAATATCCAAGGACCTGAAAGAAAGCTTGGAAGTAGTTAACCAAGCTCAACTGGCTCTAAGTTTTGCTAGACTTGTGGAAGAACAAGAGAATAAATTTCAAGTTGCAGTCATAGAAGAATTACAGGAGTTATCAAATGAAGCCCTGAGGAAAATTCTGCGGAGAGATCTTCCAGTGACCCGCACTTACATCGACTGGCAGAGGATACTTTCTGACTTGAATTTGGTGATGTATCCTAAACTAGGATATATCATTTATTCAAGAAGTGTGCTATGCAACTGGATAATATAAAGAAAGATCTGCTCCCGGTAATTATCTTGGCCTGGCTCAATTGTGTTTCTGGGGAATGATTATTTATTTTCCTGAAGTTGATACTTATGACTAAGCAAGTGCAAAGCTAATAGAGAAAAATGTAACACATGGTTTTCCTTAAGGAATATTTAACTATAAAGAGTGGAGAAAATGTATTCCATGATAGCGACTATGATACATGCAAAATGATTTAGCAGAATTTAAGACAACACTTTAAAATATTTTACCTCAGATATCTCAGAGTAATAGCCAAGGGCTAGATGTCTTTTTGTTAAGTGTTGATTTTCCAGATCATTTCAGAATAAGATGTAATTGATTTTGGAACAATTACATAGGCACCTACTTCTTGATCTAACATAGGGTTTTGGAGATAATATTTATTGATATTCCTGAATGGAAATTTTCATATAAAAATTGTGGAGAGAGATTAAAATATAAGGCATTTCACCATATTTCTTTCCAACCACTTTTGTGGGACTGTTAAAAACATTAAGAATATGCAAGATATAAAAATGTATTCTTTAATCTGTTTGCATATTATCAAATATCATCAATTTTTCCCATGTGTCTTGGGCTGGGTTCTCAAGAGGAGCAAAAACAATGAGGCGTATATGTAAAATGGTTCATGTATATGTATAGGTAGACATATCCCAAGTCCACATGGGTTAGGAACAAGATGGGAAGCATATCTTCATTAACTTGGTTGTGGGGGCTGACAAACCCAAACCTGGCAGATCAAACAAGGGACTGTTGACTCATAGCACTGTAAGAACTGGAGATAACAAAATCTGCTGGGTCACCTCCCAGTGATTAAAGGATTATGGATAGGATGCAGGATTGAGAGGACGAGCTTTGTCAGAAAATCCATATATACTGGTTGCAGCAGAATTTTGCTTGCATGTGATATTAATGATATTGTTCAATAATTTCCACACTCTGTTGGATCACCTTTCTTTGGGATGGGAACATATAATGTGTGTGTGTATGAATGTATGTATATACACACACATATATACACATATATATACAGAGAGAGAGACAGAGAGAGAGAGAATATATAAGTTTATATCTCTTCCAGTCAGTTAGCCTGGTGGTTGTCCTCCAGATCTCTTAGCACAACATAGTGAGCACACCTAGGACAGCATCTGTGTGTTGAAATACATCAATTGTTATACGGTCAACTCCTAGGGCCTTGCTTTTTGCCAATTCTTTCAGAGCAGCATGAACTTCTTCCTTCATCACCACAGGTTCTTGTCATACTTTGCTACATAACATTCTTCTGTGTCCACCAATTCCTTTTTGGTACAATGACTCTGTATCCTCTTTCCATCTTCTTTTAATATTTTCTGAGTCATTTAATTCTGCCCAAAGCATCCTTAAGTATTGCAACTCTAGGTTTGAAGTTGTTCTTCAATTCCTTCAGCTCAAGAAATGCTGAGCGAGTTTGGCCCCTTTGATTTTCTGATTCCAGCTCCTTGCACATTTCATTATAATTATTTACTTTTTCTTCTCACGCTGCCCTCTGGAATCTTCTGTTCAGCTCTTAATATTTTTATTTCTTCCCTTTGCTTTGGCTTTTCGGTGCTCCAGTGCAATATTCAGAGTCTCTTCTAACATCCATTTAGGACTTTTCTTTCTCCTCTGTCTTTGTAATGACCTTTTGCATTCTTCTTGGATGATATTTTTTATATCTTCCCACAGCTCATTTAGTCTTTGTTCATTAGTGTTCAAGGCCTCAAACTTGTTCCTGAGATAGTTTTGAAATTCAGGTAGGATAGATTCAAGGCCTATCCTTAATTATCCTTAATGATAATGGAATATCATTAATATCACAAGCAAGCAAAATTCAGCTGAAGATTATAAAAAAATGAAAGGAACAGCACATCAACATAGACCTGCCAGAAATGCAGGCTGGGTTTAGAAAAGGCTATGATATGACGGCTATAGTAGCTAATGTGGGATGGATCTTGCCTGAAAGCAGGGAATACCAGAGAAATGTCTATCTGTGCTTCATTGACTATACAAAAGCATTTGATTGTGAGGAACACAACAACCTGTGGCTAACTCTGAAAAGAATGGGAATACCAGAACACTTGATTGTGCTTATGCGAAACCTATACTTGGACCAGCAGGCAATAATCAAAACAGAGCAAGGGAACACTGCATAGTTGAAAATTGGGAAGGCTCTATGCCAGGTGTGTCCTACCTCAATACCTTTTCAATTTATATGTTGTTGTTTTTGTTGTTGTTGTTGTTACATGGCACCAAGTTGCCTGTGACTCATAGTGAGCTTAGGTACAATAGCCCTTAAACCGTGCTCTATCCTGTGCCAATCTCTCTGTCTCTGATAAACCTACTCCCATTACCCCAGTCACTGAATCAATCCATCTCATTGAGTGTCTTCCTCTCCTACCCTGTTCTTCCTTCCTCCCAAGCATGATGTCCCTCTCCAAGTACTGGTCCTCCTTGCAACATGTCCAAAATATGTCAGATAAAGCTTCAGAATCCTTGCCTCCAAGGAGCAGCCTGGCTTAACCCTCTCTAGGATGACTCTATTCATTCTCTTAGCAGTCCATGGTATATTCAATAGTCTTCTCCAACACCAGAGATCAAAGGCATCAATTCTCCTATTATCGCTAGTCATTGTCCAGCTCTCTGATGCATAGCAAGTGATTGCAACGACCATGGTCTATATCAGGTGCACCTTAGTCTCCAGACTGACATCTTTGCTCTTCAGTACTTTGGACCAGTCTCTGACAGCAGACTTTTCCCATTGCAATATGTCTTTTAATTTCCTGACTTCTGTTGCCAAGAATGTTGATTGTGGAGCCAAGCAAACTAAAGCTGTTAACAATCTCAAACTCTTCACCATCTATCACGATGCTGCCAATCATCCCAGTGGTGAGAATCTTTGTTTTATTGATATTGAGCTTCAATCCATACTGAAGGCTGCAGTCCTTGACCTTCTGCAGCAAATGCTTCAGGTCCTCCTCAGTTTCAGCAAGAATGGTTGTGTCATCTACAAAACACAGATTATTAATGAATCTTCCCCCAATCCTGATACCACATTTCTTCTCATAGATTCCAGCTTTTTTGACAATCTGTTCTGTATATAGATTGAAATGGTATAGAGATGGGACAAATCCCTGGCATACACCCTTCCGAATTTTGAACCATGCAGTGTTTCCTTGCTCTGTTCTGATGAGTGCCTGGTGCATTAGGACAATCAAGTTTTCTGGGATTCCCATTCTTTTCAGAGTTAGCTACAGTTTGTTGTGATACACACAGTCAAACACCTTTGCATAATCAATGAAACACAGATAGACCTTCTTCTGGTACTTTCTGCTTTCAGCCAAGATCCATCTAACATTAGCTATAATATCCCTAATAACATGACCTCTTCTAAATCAAGCCTGCACTTCTGGCAGTTCTCTGTTGATATGCTATTCTGTAGCTTTTTAATAATCTTCAATAGAATCTTGCTTGCATGTGATATTAATGACATTGTTTGATAATATACACACTCTGTCAGATCACCTTTCTTTGGAATGAGAACAAATATAGATCTCTTCCAGTCAGTTGGCCAGGTTGTTGTCTGCCAGATTTCTTGGTACAACTTAGTGAGCACATCTAGGGCAGCATCTGTTAGTTGAAATATGTCAATATAACATCAATTCCTAAGGGTTTATTTTTTGCCAATTCTTTCAGAGCAGCTTGAACTTCCTCCTTCACAGGCTGTTACACATATGTTGCTTCATGAATTTTTTCTGTGTCCACCAATTCCTTTTGGTACAATGACTCTGTATACTCTTGCTATCTTCTTTTAATACTTTCTGACTCATTTAATATTCTGCCTTAAGTACTTAAGGCATCCTTAATTACTGCAACTTGAGGTTTGAATTTGTTCTTCAGTTCCTTGAGCTTAAGAAATGCTAAATGAGTTTGGCCCTTTTGATTTTCTGACTCCAGCTCTTTGCACATTTTATTGTAATACTTTGTCTTTCCACACTGGCTTTTGAAATCTTTTTAAATCTTCTGTTCAGCTCCTTAAAATCTTGATTTCTACTTTTATTATTTTATTATTATTACTATTATTATTATTAATTTCAATGAACATTTACAGAGATTGTGGATTTCCATTCATTCATTGTTGCACTTTTCTCCCTGCCCAACCCCACCCCCACTCCCAGTTCGCTCTTCTTAAAAAGCCAAAGAAAAACTCCTTCATCGATATACAATCCCCCGCACCTTGAGTATACTCCACTCTGCAACCCTCATTCCAAACTCTTATGATAATCACAATGCCCTAAAATATATTATTTTTAAACTGTTCTCTCCCTCATCGGCTTCAATGCAGTATACATAATTTATTCCTCTTTTTTCAGACTTACCCCACCCGGATGTCAGCCTTATTCTACAACAGTGGCACCATGCAGTATTTGTCCTTTTGTGACTGAGATATTTCACTCAGCATAATGTCCTCCAGGATCACCCATTTTGAATAATATTGCATGAGTTTCTTGTTTTTCAATACAGCATAGTATTCCATTGTGTGAGTATACCACAGCTTCTCTACCCATTCGTTTGTTAATGGGCAATAGCTGTATAAAAAATAATCTGATAAACAACCACAACAAAAATAATCTTGATTTCTCACCTCTTTTTTGGCTTCTTGGAGCTCTAATGCTATATTCAGAGTCTCTTCTGACATCCATTTTAGTCTTTTCTTCCTACTCTGTCTCTGTAATGACCGTTTGCCACAAGTCATCTACTCTTCGCTCATTAGCATTCAAGGCTACTAACTTGTTCCTGAGATGGTTTTGGAATCATATAGGATAGACCCAAGTTCATATTTTGGTTCCTGTGTATTTGATTTCATTTTTCTTATCTTGAGCTTGAACTTACATATGAGTAGTTGGTGGTCTGTTCCACAATCAGCACCTGGCCTTGTTTTCACAGCTGATATTTAGCTTCTCCCGTGGTTCTTTTCACAAATGTAA